ATATATATATATTGCTGCGAAAGGGAGAGGAGGAATAGGAAATCATCAGTTCTGGAACGATTAGAGACAAACGAGCAGATAGAGTAATTGATAGCCATTGTTACAGATAAACTAAACCCTAATATGTCTGCTCTCCCCAAGAGCAAAACCTTTTCATGGACCATATTTAGAACTAGTACTTTGGTACTAGAAAAGAAAAAGATTCCAATGATGAAATACCATTCTTCCCCATTTTGAAAATTGCTTATAGCCTTGGACCAACATTTCCAAATCAATAAAATCTACAAATTGTTGGTCAATCGTTTGTGATTTCGGTTTTTCATAAGCCAATAGTTCGATTCATCATGTGGCGTGATAACAAACTGACCAAACTGAATTGAGAACACTCCTAAGTATTCAAATCAATAAATTCAAAAAGTAGAGACTCTGAATATTCACAAATGAAAATGGTTGGCGAGCCCTCTTGAGAAAATTGTTGAAATTATCTCCATGCATAGATTTAGATTTTTCTTAATACTCTTGGTTAACCTCCTTTTGACTCGCATAGATATTTGACTAGAAATGATATTAATCAAGAATAATAGCAAGAATCTAGACTCATAAAATTTAATGAGTATTTGTCTCATTTTCTCAAGAAGAAAGGACACAAATACCCCTTTAAAGTGCACGAGTCTAAATTTTTATTCTTTACTCTTAGGGTGCGTTTATCACACTGTAAATAAATGTAAGAGAAAAGGTAATAAGATTGGAAAGTAAAGTAATAGAATTAAGGGTCATTCATTCATTTTCATGTGTTCACTTGACTATTTAGATGGTGTAATGGGAAACAACCTCATTCCCTTTCTTATGTTTACTAAAATTAGGAATAGTAATATTATAAATGTAATCATTAAAATATCCTTTACACAATTAAATAATCATTGATTGTATAGTAATTCATTAAGTATAAATGAATAAATTTAGTATTTATTTTTTTCATTAAGGAATCAATACTATGGTGTAAGAATTAGTATTTGTGTAGGGCCTACAAATCTCTATTACTAATTTTATAAGTAAACACATTATTATATAATAAAAAAAATCAATCTTTACTTTTTCCTTCTTTTTGATACAAAATAAATAAACATTTAATTAATATCCTTTCAGTTAAATAATTATATTAGTCTTAAAAATATTTATAAAAAATAAAAGGTAAAAATTAAAATTGGTGCACCTCGTGAGTTCAGTCTCTCTTTTCTCCTTCTCGTCTCGCTCCTCTTAGAGCTGGCTTTGTCACATGGGCCTCTAAAGCCCCCCTAAACCCACTTAACATTTTGGACCCCGACAAAGCTTTCCCTTTCAACAAGGCCCTTCCCCAACCTAAAACCCCTTCAAAATCTCTATCGAGTCCTCACCATCGCCATATATATAAACAAACACACCTTCCTTTTAAGTCCCCGATTCTTCTTATTATTCTTCTTCTTCTTCATCAATGGCGTCTTCTCCGCATGGCAAAAAGCGACTCTCCATCCGCAAAACCAGAGACGAGCAAGGCCAAGGCGTACTCGCCAGAGCTTCTCAGTCCTCGATCGTCGTCAACACGAAGCGCGCCGCCTCCGAGGCCGGCTTCGTCGCGAAGAAGCTCCTCAGCAGCACCGGCAGGGCGGCGTGGATCACCGGCACCACCTTCCTCGTTCTCGTCGTCCCTCTCATCATCGAGATGGACCGCGAGCAGCAGTTAAATGACCTCGAATTGCAGCAGGCCAGTCTTCTCGGCGCAGCGTCTTCCGGTTCGGTTCTCAAGTAGAAATCATTCTCGCTCTCGATCTTCATTTGTCTTTTTTTCTCTTTCGATTTTCGTTTTGCTTCTGGAAGAGCAAAGCTTTGATTAGGGTTTGTGGTGTTAGATTGATTGAATGTGAGATTGATTTTCGCGGTTTTGAGTTTGTAATTGGAATTTATGAGTGTTTATTAGAACAGATGAAATGAAATCGCCTTGAAATATATCTCTTTTTCTTTTTGCTGTTGAGAAATTATGCTGCTATTATTTTCTGTGAAATTTTCTTCTTTTTTCTTTTTGTGTTGGTTCTAGGGTTTATGAGGGGGTTATTGGTTTGGGAAAATTAGATCTCCCAGGAAAATGTAGGACTTGTCATGAGATTTGATTTAGACGGAGAAATAAATGATTTTTGCGTGAGAAATCCCTGTAGAAACTGGATTCAATTTGCTAGATAATCAATTTTTTATCATTTAAAAATCTCAAAACTTTAATTTATTTTCATCATGAGTGGACTGATAGATCAATGAATAGAGACTTGCATATGATTTACAATTGATTACATATTTTCTTGCCGTCTTCAACCAAGATTCCTGTCAAGTGGATTTTACTCTCTCTGTTGGTAAGTAAATGTTGTTCTTTAAGCTTCAATCCAAAGACTAATAACGAATAAACTAGCTTGAAAATCAAGGATTATTCTTTCTTTCTTTCTAAGGTAAATAAGCCATGAAGAATTGAAGCAAAGAGATGAAGAATAATCTGTTGCTATATAATCTTTTGATAGACAGCAAATTCTGAAATGGGACGTTCCATTTGCAAAGTTGAAAGAAATTCAAGTACCCAACAAATTTCCTCCCCAAAAGAATTGTGGACAGATTTGACAAAAACTCAAAATTATGTTTGAAGACTTCATTTGATCTTTGAACTTGATCCTTTTCTAATTGCGTCTGTTTTTGTTTTTCTTGGAATGTTTATAATGGAGCAAGTTATTTTGTTCACCGGTAGGATAAGTACTTTCAACCGTAGTTTTTTAATAATTAAATTTGTATATGTTCGTATTAAAAATTTACAGTATGCCACATAAAACTGATCTTGCCGCAACTGTGATCGTTTAAAAATTAATTCAAGGTGAAATCACTTGCTCTTAGAACAAAATAGCTTGCTTAACCGTGAAGATTTTTTTTTATCTTTTTATTTTTTATTTTTGTTTTTGTTTTTGTTTTTGTTTGTTTTTGTTTTTATTTTTTTTTTATTTTTTTTTCTATCTTTAAACTGGACATGTATGTCACATGCCGAGTGCAAGCTCGTGTGCCACTTCTGATAGGATCCATGAGATCTCTTATTAACCATTGATTTATGTAATCTCATTCTCATGTGATATACGCAAGGCTGTTTGAAGTATTCACTTGAACTTTTGCGTAATAGAAGAAAAAGAAAACCATCACTTTTTAGTTTGTGATTGAAATTATTTTTCAAAGAACTTGAAGGGATAAAAGATGGTATTCATGTGGGAAAAATGGTACTAATTTGTGAAAGGAATTCTTTGAATCGTTATTTCTGATAATAGATTACACAAGCCTCTGTCAGACTATATACATGGAATTACAATGAATAAAAAAAGAATAAACTAAATTAAATCCTATATTCTGTAATCTTTAACTCTCTCAATCACATCCCTAAACACTAGGAAATAATTATTTACAGATTTCTAGCACTAGTTAGACCCTAATTGTAGGGAACCGTATTTTTCCACACTCCCCCTCAAGCTGGTGAATATACATCATCCATTCCCAGCTTGCTCATAATCTCTTGAAAAGTAGCGCTGTTGAGCCCCTTTGTGAGAACATCTGCTAGCTGACCTCCTGTGGGAACATATGGAGTACAAATTAATCCACTTTCCAACTTTTCCTTGATGAAATGTCTGTCTATCTCAATGTGTTTAGTTTGGTCATGATGAACTGGATTATGTGCAATACTGATGGCTGACTTGTTATCACAGTAGAGTCTCATTGGCCCGCTCCAGTTAATCTTCAGATCTTCCAGTATAATTTTTAACCATAACAATTCGCAAACTCCTTGTGCCATTGCTCTAAACTCTACTTCTGCACTTGACTAAGCTACAACATTTTGTTTCTTACTTCGCCATGTTATTAAATTTCCTCCAAGGAAGGTACAATAACCCGATGTAGACCTCCGATCGACAAGGGACCCTGCATAATCCGCATCAGTATAAGCTTCAAGAGTAAGTTCAGGATTTCTCTTGAACATTATTCCTTTTCTGGGGCAAGTCTTTAAGTAAAGAAGCACTTTGTAGGCAGCCTGAAGATGGATCTCCTTAGGAGCATGCTTAAATTGACTAATGACTCTCACATAATATGCTATGTCCGGTCGTGTGTGAGCAAGATAGATGGGTTTTCCAACTAACCTCTGGTACATTTCTCTGTCTACCACCCGATCTCCAACAGCTTCTCCTAGTCTATGGTTCTGCTCAATTGGTGTTGCAATTGGCTTGCTTGCTAATAGTCCCATTTCCTTGAGGAGATCAGTAACATACTTTTGCTGAGAAATGAAGATCCCTTGTTTGGAATGAGCAACTTCAATTCCAAGAAAATATTTCAATCTTCCCAAATCTTTTATCTCAAACTCCTTGATCAGACACTGTTTTAAAGCTTGCTTTTCTTCTTCGTCATTTCCGGTCACAATAATGTCGTCTACATATACTATCAAAGCTGTGACTCCCTCTGAGGTTGAGTGCTTGATGAAGAGTGTATGATCTCCCTGACTCTGCTTGTATCCTGTAGCTAACATCACCTTAGTAAATCTTCCAAACCAGGCACGTGGGGACTGTTTCAAGCCGTACAACGCCTTTCTTAACCGGCATACCTTATTCCCCTCAACTCCTCCAAATCCTGGTGGGATGCTCATATAGATTTCTTCTTCCAGGTCACCATGAAGAAAGGCATTCTTCACATCATACTATTCTAATTCCCAATTAAAGCTGGTAGCTAGCGACAACAGTATCCTTACGGTGTTCATTTTTGCCACTGGAGCAAAGGTCTCTTGGTAGTCTACTCTGTATGTCTGAGTGTATCCCTTGGCAACTAGTCTTGCCTTGTAGCGTTCTAATGATCCATCAGCCTTAAATTTCAAGGAAAAAATCCACTTACATCCTACCATCTTCTTTCCTTTCGGCAGATCGACTAACTCCTAAGTCTCATTCTTTTCCAATGCATCCATTTCAGCCCTCAGAGCTTTCCTCCATTCCTTTTTAGATAATGCCTCAGATAAGGTGTTTGGGATAGGAATTTCATTTAGACTCGTGAGGAAACTCCTATGGGCTGGTGAGAATTTTTCAAATGATGCAAAATGGGATAAAGGGTACAATGGTCGTTTGGTGGACTCTCGAGTTCCTTTCCTCATAGCTATGGGTAAATCCAGGTCAGTTCTTTGAGTTTCAAAGTGATCAGAAGGTGAAGTGGGTTCAGGTATTGTTACCTCATTCTCAGGGGTCGGATTGGTGACTCGAACTTGCCTTGGATCCGGAGGATGACCTTGCTTTCTCGCGTACACCTGCTCATACCGAAAATGATCAAAAGTTCTTTCATCCCGTATTGGAGACTTAGATGAGATAGGAACAAGAACATGAGACGTGGATGGAGAAAAAGACTCGGGGCCAGAAGACGACTCTGGGGAATGGGAATTTGTGACAGACCCAGATGGAGATGGAGATGGCATGGGTAGTGGAGACTCAGGTGAGGATGGAGATGGCAGGTCAAGTAGGAGAAAATCCTTATCTTCCATGATAGATGTCTCCCCCTGAAGATAAGGTTTGGTAAAATATGGTTTCCCTTCCACAAATGTGACATCGACTGAAACATATAATTTTCTGGTGGCGGGATGAAAACACTTGTAGCCTTTTTGAGTGGAGGAGTATCCTACAAAGACACACTTAATGGCTCTAGGATCCAATTTTCCCCGGTTATTGTTATGGACATGGACAAATGAAGTACACCCAAATACCCGAGGAGTAAGATTGTTGGTGGCACTAAGGTTGGGATAGAACTCAGAAAGAACTTCCATTGGGCTTTTCAATCATAAGACATTGAGAAGGAATTCTATTTATGATGTAAGCAGATGTGAGCACTGCTTCCCCCCAATAGTGTTTTGGTACGTTGTGATGAAATAAGAATGCTCGTGTAGTGTCCAGAAGATGACAAATTTTTCTTTCAGCTACCCCGTTTTGTCGTGGGGTGCTGATGTAGGACGACTCATGAATAATTCCCTCTTTTTGGAAATAAGGGGTCAAGTACTGATTGAAGTAATCTCGACCATTATCAGACCTAAACCTTTTTATTTTTGTACCAAATTGATTTTGAAGCATTATATGGAAATTGGGAAAAACATGACTTACATCAGACTTATTTTTGAGTAAGAAAATCCAAGAAACCCTAGTGCAATCATCTATAAAGGATACAAACCACCGTCAACCAGAAATATTTGGAACTGTTGAAGGCCCCCATATATCACTATGAACCAAATAGAAAGGAGAAAAACTTCTCTTATTGCTAATGGGAAAGATACTTGAGTGTGTTTTGCATACTCACAAATGTCACAATGAAAAGTACTAATATCCAATCCCTTAAACAAAGGAGGACACATGATTTTTAAAACTGCAAAAGATGTATATCCGAGATGAAAATGATGCAACCAGATGGCATCTTTATTGGAAACAGAAAGAAACGAAGTGGGTGAACTTGGCTTGATCATATTCAGTTGGCTGGGTATCTCAAGATAGTAAAGTCCATCATTCTCCTTAGCAAGTCCAATCCTCCTCTCCAAACCCTAGTCCTGAAATTCATAGTAAGAAGGGTGAAACGTAACATGGCAGTGTAAGTCTCTTGTAAGTTTTTGTATGGACACAAGATTTGTGGATAGTTTTGGAACATGTAGGACATTTTTAAGGACAAGGCTAAGGGTAATATGGACATCTCCTACACCTGCTACCGTGGTTGTAGTTCCATCGGCAACAGTGATTTTCCTATTGCTTGGACATGGGATATAAGTTTTGAACAGGTTTGAGGCATGTGTCATATGGTCTGTGGCTCTTGAGTCTATAATCCATGAATCCACAAGCAATTTATCAGAAACATTTAATCCAAAAGGAAATGAAGATTCACCTGAGAGGGCTAGAGAGCAAGAACCAGATGAAGGCTTCTCAAGTGACCCCAGTAGACTTCTAAACTTCTCTATTTCTGTATTGTTGAATCCTCCATCTCCTTTTGTTTGGTCCTGAGTTGCTTGTGAAGCCATATGTGCCTGACCTTGTTGCTGTTGTCCTCCTCTATTTCCCCACTCACGGTTGGCTGGTTTTCCATGCAATTTCCAGCAACGGTCCTTTGTATGTCGTGGCTTTTTGCTGCCGTGGCTTTTTGCAGTAAGAACACCAGAAATCATCTCGGTTTCCCCCCTTTGTCAATTTTGCCCTTCCATGCTCGGCGTTTGGTGGTTGTTCCAAGGTAAGGCCCCGTTGTTTGTTTCCAGAAACTGCGAGTGCAGAGCCATCAGCCAGTTGGGGTTCAAGCATAACCCCTCTCCGACTCTCTTAAGCCCGAATCAATGAGATTGTCTCATTAAGGGATGGTACCTCCTGTTTGCCAAGAATTTGAATTCTCACTAGATCGAATTCAGCGTTTAAACCTGCGAGAAAATCATAAACTCGATCTTTTTCAATAAAATTTTTTATTGTAACTGCACAATCGCTGCATTTCAGATCAATCACCCGGTAATAATCCAATTCTTGCCATTGGTTTTGCAGGAAATTGGCATATTCAGTTACCGTCTTATTCCCCTGTTTTGTCGTTGCCGTCTTGGTCTTGATTTCAAATATCAGCGCTGCATCGTGAACCTTGGAATAGGTCTGATTCAGGGCATCCCAGATTGCCTTTGCAGTGGGCAAAAACATACATGTATCGCTGATTTCAGGTGTCATTGAATTCCACAGCCAGGACATGATCATTGAGTCCTCCTCGTCCCACGATGCGAAACCTGCTTCTCCTTCCTTCGGTCCAGTCCCCAACAAATGACTCAATTTTCCTTTCCCTTTTAGAAAAGTCTAAACCAATTGAGACATGATTAGTGCATGAAAATGCACCATAAATACTACTTTTGATTTATATAATATTAAAATATTTAAGCTTTAATTAAGCAATTTCATTATTTTTATTCATAATATTTTAATTGAAATTTGTCTAGTTTTTACTTAATTATTTACAGATAAAAAGTAGTATAAAAAGCTACACAAAAATGAGCCATGAAAGCCATGTTTTCAACCACCCGGAGCCAAGTCTCAGCCGAGCCGCACAAGCCAATCAGAGAGAGAGAGCCGAGCAGCTTAGCCGAGCCAACATCAGTCCGCGTGGGCCCCAGCATTTCCAGCGTTTCCTCACTCTTCCTCACGCGCGTCACCAGCACGTCCATCTTCAGCGCGTGCGTTTCCCTCCACGCAGCTTCAGCGTGCATCCAACTCCTCCACAGTGTGGGTCGCGCGTCTGCAGCCATCAGCCGGCCTTCCTCTCCGCGTGCGACAGGTGTCAAACCTTGTCCTCCACTCTGCCCGCGCCAGCACAGTCCAACCAATCCGCCCACGACACGTGGCAAGTTTCTCCTCACTTCCAATCACGTTGCGACACGTGTCCCATTTGGTGATGAATCCGAATTCCTTCCCCAAAAATCAGAGGAAATTACCAGATTTCTTTCCCAAATCAAATATGTGATTTCTCCTAATTTATGTGTAATTTTATTTTGTTTCCTTTTCTTTTGTAATTTTCTAGTTTTACAATTTATTTTCTTATTTGACAGACAACCTCTGAACACTATAAATAGAGGGGTTGGCCTAAGGTTTTAGGAGCTTTTTAATATTTAGTTTTCTGTCGTCTTACTGTCAGTTTCATATTTTCTCTCTAGAACTTGTGAGAATGTTTTGCAAGATAGGCTAGCGTTCTTTTAGTGAGGTTAGAGATGAACTTCTATTGAGCGACCCAATTCAGGGTTTTGATTCCTTGTGCTGTAAAATTCAACATCTGAATGAATTAAATCTCATCTATTTTTCTATTACTTTTCAAAATATTGTGTGCCAATTTTTATATAAGTTCAGTCACGCTTTTCTTATGTAATTCTGTCATGCAATGTTTTGTTATTCAAATTATTTTACAAATTGTCTTTTACTGCAATATTGTCAGATTGATATATTGTCGATTTTAGATAACTTGTAATAATAATATTTCTGGAGTCAACATACAGATTTAATTTATTCGGTTATTTAATATTGTGAATCAAAACTTGGATTGGTGAACGAAACATTAGGGATTCTCGACACCTTACCGTTTTTATTATTGAATTTTCTTCATACAAATTCCCTCCTTTCTATTTTATTTGCAACAAAATCTCAAAAACTATTCTTTTTCTTTTATTCACTTTTCTCGAACGCTCTTATTCGGTTAGTCTTTCTTGTTATTTTGTTATCTCTCTGTGGATACGACCGCCCTTCTGTGCTACAATTGACCACATGTAAACATCACTTTTGGGCGTTAATCAAGACCATTTCAAGTAGTTTCTGCCGTTCAGTCGATATGCCGATTGGATGTTATGTAACTCGCCTGTTGTACGGGATGTCTGCTCTTCTTCCGCTGACTGGGATGGTGGTGCTACAGGTGTAGATGATTTTGTCTTTGACATTCTTCAAGAATCAGCTATGAAGGCTGAAAAGAAAGAACTGGGTTGCAAAGAAAGAGAAAAAATGGCAGATTATTGCCAGAAAGTGAGCAATGAAGGCACACCACAAAAAGAAAAGAAACGGGGGCAATGAAGGCCGGAATAGGTCAAAAAACTTCCTAGAAAACCCTAAGCCTTACGGCTCTGATACCATGTGGGAAAAATGGTACTGATTTGTGAAAGGAATTCTTTGAATCGTTATTTCTAATAATAGATTACACAAGCCTCTGTCAGACTATATACAGGGAATTACAATGAATCAAAAAGGAATAAACTAAATTAGAAAATCCTATATTCTGTAATCTTTGACTTTCTCTCAATCACATCCCTAAATACTATGAAATAATTATTTACAGATTTCTAGCACTAGTCAGACCCTAATGGTAGGGAACCGTATTTTTCCACAAATTTTAATCTTGATAAACAAAAATGACGGAATGGATTTTCAAAATTCGTCTCGGAAAGAACTTACTCTATAAGCCACATTTCGTGGTTTTGACTCAAGAGTTGTTCAGCAAGGTCAATTCTCATCCAAACACTTTTGTGAAGTAGCTCGTGGACCGCAAAAGCTAATGAACTACTTCCTTAGCTTCTAGAATTGAATGAATAAATAAAAATAAATTCTCGCAAACATCAGCATTGTACACAACACTCCTCTCATATCTTCTTTCCCGTTTCATAAAAACGCATTAATTTGCCTTTGGCAATGATATCTAACTTCTCTTCCTGTCTTCTTGTACCTTCATTCGCACGTCTCATCACGAATCTCACAACCCCATCTACCTACGGCGTTGTTTGGATTGCAAAGATTAGAAGGTTGAATATTTGTCTTAGGGATGAATCATAGAGGCTCTTTTTCGTGTTACCAAACACCTCCACAAGAACAACTACCATTCAAAAACCTATGGTATCTGTTCACATCCCTCACAATAATTTCCCTCCCCAACGCCCTACTCATGAACTTAAAAGCCTCGTGACAATCTCTACAAATCCTCAGATTCTTCACAATCCTCAACGGCTTTCCGGGCAGTGCCGCCCCACTCACAACCCCGAATGCTACTGCCAACTTTTCACTGTGAGACCAAAGTAATTCATTCTTCTCATCTTCCCCTACATCATGTACCATCTCATCTGAAACAGGCACATAGCCTATCTTCTCTATTTCCTCCCTCAATTCTGCTAGTTTTGCGTAAATTTGATCCATCATTTCGTGCCTCCTGTCCCCTGCGAAAAACACATGAACTTTGCCTCTTACTTCAATCCAACTCTTCCCCACTTCCTTCTTCACCCTCCTATCTTTCATCATCTTCCTCACTTCCGCAACTTCGTCCCATCTTTGCGCGCCTGATAATGCATTTGCAACAATAATGTAGGCTGAGTCATCATGTCGGTCAATTTCCAACAACCGTTTAGCCATAGTCCAAGCCATGTCAGCGTTCCCATGAAAGGCGCAGCTCGAAAGTAGTGCTCGCCAAACCGCAGCATCTGGCTTGAAAGGCATTGTCATGGCAATCTTCTCAGCATCTGATAATCGTCCTGCTCGGCTTAATGCACCCACAAGACATGTGTAATGCTCAAGCCCTGGCTCCAAGCAATAATCTCGAATCATCCGAGTAAACCACTGGTCAGCCTCAACATCCATACCCACATTGCAAAACAATGTCAAGATTGCTAGAAAGCTATATCTATCCGGTCTAAGCCCTCGAGCTTCCATCAAATCAAAAAGTTCGACAGTCGAGTCCTTATCCCCTTGCTGCGCATAAGCTGCCATCATCGCATTCCACCCGACATCATTCATCCTCACCAAATTCTCATCAAACACCCGTCTCGCATCCCCCACAAGCCCCGCTTTCCCATAAACATCAACCAGAGAACTCCCCACAAAGGCATTCTTATCAAGCCCAGTAACAAAGGCATGAGCATGAATCATCCTACATTGCTCCAACGCGGCAAGTTGTGCCGCTGCACAAAGCGCTCCCGAGACACTATATGTCGTGGCCTGAGCATCACACGACGCCACCAACTCTGCAAAAGCGGACAAAGCCTCAACGGGCCGAGAATTCTGCGCCAACCCAACAACAATCGCCCCAAAACAAACCCGGTCTCTGCGAGGAATTTCATCAAACACCTTGCGTGCATCACCCGGCATCCCACATTTCGAGTAAAAGCTGACGAGGGCAGACCCGGAAACGGGGTCTCTGGAGAGAGATATCTTGAGCGAGAGAGCGTGGAGAGAGAGTCCAAAAGGGACACAAGAGAGGGAGGCGCAGGACCTGAAGAGGCTAGCCATGGTGAACTGGTTGGGGAGAGTGGGATGTCGTAGCATCGAAACGAAGTGTCGTAGGGAGAGGAAGGTGTCCGAGTAGGTGGCGATGAGGGAGGTCCAGGAAACGACGTTGGGCGATGGGATTTGGTGGAAGACGCGGAAAGAGTAGGAGGGGAGGTTGGATTTGGAGTAGTGGGTAATGAGGTTGTTCAAGAAACTGCGGTCCCTGTGGCCGTTTATGATGGCGCGGGCGTGTAGAGCTCGTGGGTCGGAGTTGGCTGGTCTCGCCGCGGCCGCCGGCGCCTGTGCGGGCGTTGGAGGCGACGCATGTCTGTCCAGCGAATGGTTCATTGTTGTGCGACGACTGATTGTGAGTATGATTGATTCAGACGTGCTTAGGCAAGCCATGTCATGGTATGGGGTTATGACTTTCTTACTTGTGGCTTTGCACGTTGAATGCACGTGGAATTGTCAATAAAACAACGAGGAGTCGAGGATTATATGTTTTTTTAGTAGAGACTAGTATTTTTCCCGCGCGTTGCAGCGGGTAATAGTCATAAGTTATATAAAAAGTTAGTAGTTTTGATTGTATAGAATTAGTTTATGTATAGATATTTATATGTGAATATGTTTATATAATATTGTCATAAGGACATTTTACAATGCATTTTGTCAGCAGGTAATAAATAGTCAACGGGTAATAGTCATAAGTGAAATTTTTAGTTTCATCAATGAGAATGATGCTATTCAATTTTTAATTTCATTTTGTGTATCATATATATAGAGTTGTAAAGATCCCGTACATGGTAGTAAAGATCCCATTTTGTGTATCATTTCAATTTCCTCCAAAAAGATATTCTCCTTTTATTTTGTGTATCTTTCAATTCTATTGGTAGTAAAGATCTCATAAGATGATGTATTTGTCTACTTATTTTGAAAATATATGGACCATCTGAGTTTCTAGTACTTGTTTCTATATTAGCTCCAAAGGATATAAATGTAAACATAGAATTATATGTTTGAATATTTTTTTTTAAAAATGTGTAGTTATTGATCCTGCATTAATAATTCGTCTAATATAAGAGGTGTTTTTTTCGATTAAAGGTAAAGTGATTTTTCCATCTTTAGAACAAAGGTTAAATTTAGGGGGTTGCTACTTTTGAAACGTTCATTAGACCAAAAGAGAGCAGCATAATGTTGACATGTGTAAGAATAGTCTCTGAGGTCAATATACATATTAGTAATACTTATAAAAGAAAAAATTGAAAATAATGTTAAGGATTATTTATAGAAAGTTAGTGCTATGTAAAGAATTAATTAGTTAAATATAATAATTAATATGTATAGGGGATTTACATCTTTTGTTGTAGTTTTGAGACGTTGATGGAAGTGACAAATCATTATTTGGAGACTGTCAAAATGCAAGCATCATATCAAATATAGACCGCGAAGTTGTTGTTGATGCAAGGTCGTTATTTTGATTGATATAATGTGAATATTGACTAATCGTCTTGTTAAAACGTTGGTCCATTTCTGAAATGACATGACGCATACGCTTATTCGATCGTGGTCGTTTTTTTTTCTAACTTTTGTTTTATCTATTTGTTTGTTGATCATAATATGAGATCATTTTAGGGATTAAAAGAAAGAAGAATATATTATTTTGGGGTCAATAGTATAGGCTTATGAGTTAAATTATTATTTAAGTTTGAAGAAGAACAAAACCTAATTTAAAAATTAGTTATTAATTAAATATTCAAATTGTTTATATAAATTGAATGTAAATTTTTTTAAGCTTACTTTTTTCATCAACGCTTTTTTTTACTTGATTAATTGTTATTTCAATTGTACTATTATTTTATAAATTATGCAAAGTACATTTTATATATCTTTAATTAATTGTTATTTTAAAAGGCTTATATAAATATAGATTGATAAATCTATAGATGATGACTAAAACTATAGGAAATGAAAAAAGCAAGTAAATATATAAGAAAGTAATAAATTCTAGCATATGCATAGGTATTTCATTTTTTTTCATCTGGAAGAAGCAAAAAATAAAAGAAACATAATTAAGTAGCAAATTTAATCAATTGTATATATGCAAAAATCTATTCTAATTGTAGTACATTTTTATAACGCATTAAAATTCGTAATAAATTGCTACATAAATAATGTTGTAATAACAAATTAACGAAATTATATATGTACAATTGCAATTGATCTTGAATAAAGTAATACAGAAGCACTCACAATGATGATATATTTACAATAATAAAAATATGGAGTTTATAATGTTAAATATTATTATGTACAAAACGAAATGAATAACATAAGAATAATATATTAATTAAATTCATAAGCAAACACTATATAAATAAATAGATTGATCTTGTATTTGTGCATTCTTTGCTGCTTCCTTGAAACACAAACAAATAGACTTAAAACTTTGCATAGTAAGATTTGCCTTCATGAATTTGATTAAAAAAAAAAGAATCAAGAATAAAGTGATAAATAAATATAAATAAATATATAAAATTAAAAAAGATTAAGCTAAAAAAATTGAAATATTATAAATATAATGACACTTATGTATAGTGATTATGGCTCAGATATCAAATGTTGTCATCAATCTGCAGTAAATTAATTGATTTATATTTTTATAGCCATTTTATGGATGCTTATTGGCAGTAGCTACATAAAGGTATAAAAAATTAATTAGATGTTATATCTGCCAGACATATTAGGATAAATATGCGATACAAAATAAATGACTAAAGTAAAAGATAGAGTTGTCCAAGAACTGTCAGGTGAATTAAAAGAGTGAAAAAACAATAACAATATTAAACAAAGCATGAGCTTAAGATTTTGAATCAAATATGGTAGAAGAGAGAGCAAGAGTAAAAGCATTTACTAACCAATGAATCCTGAGATTTCAGTTGGAGCAAAATGACCAAAAAAGCTGAAGCCCACAATAATAATAGTAAAATAGGAAGGACAGAAAGCTTCAAAAAAATTATAAAGCACCAAAAGGATCCAAAACTTTTTGTAAAATAAGGGACAAAGAAAGAGGGGAGAAAATAGGATGGGAGAGGAAAAAAAAGGGAAAATCAGAATAATTCAAAGTGAAGCTTTCAAACAGAGAGAAAAAGTGTGATAATAAGAAATATGAAGTGAAAAGGACATGCAAACAAAATGAGCCAAAATGAAGGAATTAAGTAAGCAATGAAGCTGGAAATTTCATCCGGATCAAAATGCCAAAAGAGGTTAAACTCATGGCAATGGAAGCAATGAAATATGGAGAACAGAAACCTAGAGCAAAAGCATAAAGCAAGAAAAAGATGCAAATTTTTTTTGTAAAATAAGGGACAGGAGGAGGAAAAAGAAGCAGAATAATCAAAATGAGGCCTTAAAACAGAAAGAAAAGGTGCAATCATGAGAAATATCAAGTAATCAATGAATGGTGATATTTCATTTTGATCAAAATGACCAAAAAAAGCCTAAACTGACAGTAATGGAAGTAATGAAATATAGAGGACAGAAATCTGCAGCAAAATCATAGAGTAGGAAAAACATCGAAAAGTTTTTTGTAAAATAAGGGACAAAGGGTAAGGGAAAACCAAGAGGATAATTGAAACTAAGGCTTTAAAACAGAGAGAAAAAGTGCAACAATGAGAAATATCAAGTGAAAATGGCAGTGGAAGAAAAATTGAGTAACACAAACAAAAAGATAGTGTATAAATGAATGAGTATTGAATGGAATAATAAACGTTGAAAGTGTGAGAGCTAGAAAAGAAAACTGATTTATGTGTAAAGAAGCTGTCAATAAAATAGTGATACCAAAAGGCCAAAAGAACCATAATAAATTAAAAAAAGAATAAGGAGAGATAAAAGACTTTAGTAAAAAAGAATAAAGAAAAACAAAATTCAAATGAGAAGGATACATTCACAGTAATTTTTAGACAAATCATATAAAACTCAATATGTCAAAATCAATTATAATCATGATCGCCACAGAAAAAATAGATTGGGAGCAAAAGATGTCAACCGAAAAAGAAAGGGGAAAAAAAGACTAAATCTAGTAATAAAAATCGGGAAGTAATATTTATGTAGATAAGTTTTGAATGAAATAGGTATCTAATGAAAGAAAGGAAATCAGAATAGCCAAAAAATGAACAAAAGACTGGTTAATTATTTTTAGTAAGAAAGTTGGACAGAATAAGAATCCAACCAAGAAAAACATATTTAGAAACACGCTAAAATTGACTATAATCACTGATCTTCCATTAACAAAGCAACAAAGCAGTTAGAAACAACATATAGGAAATGGAGATATGTATATAGATGTCAAGAGAAAGTCAAAGCAGTAGTCAATGTGACTAAAATTTACTAATGAAAGACACAGGAAAGAAAGAGGGAAAAGGGGAAAAAATTTATGAACAAAAGTTGTAACACAGAGACATCACATATCAATATCGTCAAAGGGAGGCAATATATTAAATATCAGGAGCAGATATTAAGCAATTCTGGATAACAGTTATTATACCTAAAACGCTATAAATATTCCTTTGAATGTGATATCCGAACCAACTAAATACAAACAAAGCAAAAGAAACAATACCAAAATATCAAAACAAAGCAGTAAATCGCTCAAAATAAAGTAGGGCATTAAATAATTAAGGCTGAAATATAGAAGGCAATAAAGTGGAAGCAAAAGAAAGAAAGATATACAGAATAAATCTATGTGTAACAGCAGTTCTTGTAAATAAATACAAACATAGTACTAACATCTACTAATAATATAATAAAATCAACTGCAAACAAAAATTATAAAAGTAAAACAACATATAATCACATCAAATAAATATATCGAACATCAGGAACACATATTAAATACTTATAGGCAAGAATCATTAATAATTTCTAGAACACTATAAATACTTCTTCGAGTATGAAGTGTCAGCCAACTAAATGCGAAGAAATGATATAGAAATAGCAGGATAAAACAGTAAAGGATGGATAATGAAGTAGAGTAGTAAATGAGCGAAGGTGAGATGCATAAGAGAAAGAGTAAAACCCAGCGAAAACAAACAAGAATGTGCAGAATAGACCCATAGGCAAGATCAGTTTTTATAAATGAAGAGACGGAAAACAATTAGCAAAACTACATACCCTATAAAAGCCTCACTTCAGAGCAGAGCACCAGTTTCCAGATGATACAAATTAATATTCATTAATCAAATGATAAGAGTGTTGTATTAATCCGGTAAAGAAAATAGAAGAAGTAAATAAAGATTAAATGGTAATCACTTCAGAAGAAGAAAAAGGCGGATAAAAGCAGAAAAAATGAAAAAACAATTTTTTT